TTGAAAATGATTACATATGGTTATGTGCTAATAAGTTAGTGTTGAAAATGATTACATATCTTATATAAAGTACCTATGGTTATGTACTAATAAGTTAGTGTATATGTGCTTTAAAACAGGCAGAACAGACATCATGCAGGGTAAGAGTATATACAGTTGATAATGCTGTATCTGGCCAGTTTTATTACTCACTTGGTGACTTTAAGAATAAAATTCAGAGACAACTTCAGAGAATATACGAAATGATGACGTTACATTATCGTACATTTATTTCTTTATGGATTATAACTTTCTATAGCTAATCATTCAACAAGTGACAGCTATCCCACCCTTAAGTTTTTTTTAGAAATGTAAAATGCCTAATTAAAGGGCTAAACTATAGAGAAACTACTAATATTAATAAGTACAAAGTCAAAATTTTCATGCTTTTTGTTGTTTCTCATAATCGTCTGGCTTTTCTACAGTTATTAAAATTGATTTATGAACTCCAAAATGTACTACATCATCAAATGTTCAGGTATTTTATACAAATTAGGGATCAACTTTGCCCCCTCAGATCTTTCTGAAGTGGTGCCACTGCACTCATTACAAATTATACAGCATGATAAATATTTGACATAAAGTTGTATCTAAATTCAATCAACTTGTGAAGACTAGGCATAGTATACTGTATAAGGTATGGCATTCAACTAGTACCCTCTAGGTACTGTCCATTTCTCAAAAAAAGTATCATTCAGAAGTATATTTAATGATGTATAATTTATAATCCACCCAATTGCTGGTACTAGCTTCCCCTAGTTTAAAAATGCTTATCGTTTCATGGGTAACTAAAGATAATGTCATTCAATGTAGCCAATAGCAAACCATTAAACCAGTCGTATATATATCACAAGTAGCACTGTGATTACTGAGTATCAATAAAATATTATGAATCTGTTTATCAGTCAAATTTGAATCAAGCCTCATGAAAACACACCATGGGAAAACAGAGCTTGACATTTTTCATAACAAACTCAAGCATATAAAAAACGTACATTTAAAAGTAGTATACCCAAGTAATTTCAATATGGTCCCCTACCATGATAAGTTTCTGAAGAGGAGTTAGTCTATGAAAGTACTTGACTAAGGATTGAATTTAATCATTTTAAACTGAGCAATAGGTTAAAGTTCAACATTAATCGTTCGTGCTAATTACAACGGAAATAAAAGAGAATAATCATAATAAAAATGGTGGCTTCCACTAGTTACGTACAAACAAGTAGTAACAGGTCTTTATATAAAGATAATGATTTTCAGAACAAGTGGAAGGAATGACCCATATCCTTCCCAAACAAGGGAGATTCACCACAAATGAACTTTCAGAAGGTACGAATGACCACGGTGACCTATTCAGCATGTTTCCAATGACATTCTTAAACTCAGAAAGACTGATATTCATTCATCACATTACTATAATCTATAGATGAATTACTGAGAATGTATTTCACATACTTACAGCTCGACCGGCTGATAATCGAACGTCATATCTGACAATGACATCGTAATTTTTACTACTTATGTTCTGTATAACGGATATTCACAAACTACTGAGTTATGATACGACCAACAAGTATAACAATAACAAGTAACAGCTAAAATAAACTGTAAATGAAGAAACTCTACCACGAGTATACTTAAGAACTCGTTGAGGGCTATAAAATACCAAACACTCTCGAGATTCCTCTTCCCCATGTAAATTCACATATATTTTACTTTATAAATAAAAACCTGCCATTTTATGGTTTTAAAAATATTTTAATACACCTTTTTTTGGTATTTTTCCAAACCCATTTTTTTTTCTTTTCCAAAATGTTTTATGCAATTGCACACTGTTGTCTAGGAAACATCATTCGCCATGGATATGTCACGTACAGTAGCCACATTTTGTTTTTTTATAGAATGTACTTTCTCTAAATTATTTGTATTAACTTTTCTTTTAAAATTGTGCATTTTTTAGCTAAACTGTAGAGGTCTCTTTCTTCAACCCTTTGAAGATACTTGCCTGTACCCATTGGTTAGTCTTCTTAAAAATAACGGAGTTTTTTGGTACCTTTCAAAATTTCAGGAATCCTACTGCTAATATCTAACACAAGAAATAAACAATGGACGATGTGAAGATTTCTTGCTAGACATGTTATGGTCTCATTTCACCAGAAGTTGATGAGGCTACATATATTGTTCACGATGGCTACTTAATCCACCGTTTACATCATATCTCATTAGATCTGTGGAACGTGCTGAAATAAATAAAATAAAAATGGGAAAAAAACCAACCTAAGTTTTGTTTTTTTCCTTAAAACAATTAAACAATTCACAAATCTTTAATATGAGCCAAACATTGAGGGATAAAATCAAAATAGTTAAAACAAAAAGTCATCTGACAACAACACAAACAGAGAAAGAAAACACGAAATTACACAAATACAGAACAAGACTTCCAATGAATTAGATTTGTAAATATTGTAAGATATGTAATCATTTTCAATTAAATTATGATACCCAGTATCTACCAATACATTAAATGATGATACCCAGTATCTACCAATACATTAAATGATGATACCCAGTATCTACCAGTTCATCCTACAAACTGATACCATTGTTTTTTCTGATAAATATTCAGTTTGAACAAGTCTTACCTTACTGACCACCCAATCAGAATCTTGTATGGCTCTCTTGATGATCTGCTGAATTCGTTCTGGTTCAGTTTCATCTGAATGGCTGTTGTAAGACTAGTAATAAAACATGCTGTTTAGTAAAACAGCCAATAACATAATTTAAAATTAATGTTTTAAGAACTGTGTACAGCTCATAGCCCTCATTACGATGGATCTAACACTAATGACTTAATACTTTACCTACTTATCTTAGATTAATGAGTACTAACTGGAAAAATGACTCAGCTAAATCACACACTAATCCAGGCTAAAAGTGGAAGATACCACAAATCTTCTTCCAAGGTATCTCCTGCTAAGTGTGCCCTACAAGCATGTGTTCTCAAACATAGGAAGCCAGAATACAGCATCTGTGTTGAGCATGATAACTATCTCTGACAATGATGACTTGTGTAAAACGAGGTTCGAAGGGTAAGTATCAGAAGCATGATCGTCTAACCACTTAGGAGCGAAATAAAAGAATATGCTATCCCACCACAATACCTCTGCCATGTACATTTTTGATGAGGCCTTTCGTCCAATACCAGGGCTCGTCAAGCCAGCTGGGATGCAACAAACACAGCATTAGCCCAGGCACTATTTATATCATTAATATCAACTTTCTTGAATGGCGACTGTTATGATGTGAACTTAATTAACTACAATCATTGTTACCAAGTTTATTTACAATTCAGTTTTTTATGGTAAGGATTAATTATATAATATTATTTGTTAAGTTTTATTTGTTACACTGTTTTTTTTTGTTTTCAAACAACATCACTATTATTAAGAAGTACTGGTAAGTCAGCTACTTAATCTTTTTTCTGGAGCTACTAACAACCACAGCATCAACAGAGGAAACTATATTCTATGAATTTATGAATGAAAGTAAATAAGATGTGAACCACACCACATATGTCATATCCAGTGCTAATCAAGTGTGTTATGAAAGAACAACAGGAGTATTCATCTCATGTCTTTCTAAGGAGCTTGTAAAATGCACCAGAATGGTAAATCAAAAGAACATGATACCTCACTGTTGGTTCACTATCCGAGTTCAATCAATAAAAAATTTCTTAAGGATTGTTGTTATAGATTGATCAAGATACTATATCATCAGGTACACAAATGTTAACTGCTCCGGGCAACATTGAACCACATAAATTTCGAATGATCTAGAGGTTAAGCAAATGCAATATGTAAACTGTGCGATGACAAATGTAAGTATATTTCTCTCATGAACATCACCGTACACTCTGACTTGTCAGAGTCCAAGTAAAACTGACATTGTCAATTCACAGACATATCTTTAGTATCAATACTTTTGTATTGTGTACAAAAACTTGTACATTTTTTTCAAAGCTTGCCACATTCTGTATACATAACATAGTAAATTTGGAGTTATAGTGAACATTCTTTCTCCAACACTGGAGCAATCCATTGGACCAACCCCATGTATGTTCAATTAAACCAGTAAAGTTCTGTAAGGTCATGCTGATGTCCTGCAGAAACTATTATATTATAATCATATCATATTTTTATCTTATATTTATAACAGCTTTAAAATAAAAATTACTTGCAATACAAAAACATACACAAACTCACATTAATTAATAAAACCTCACGATCAGACCTGCAGTTTTGATTAATTTCACTTCTTATAGCCTTAGTTATATTAATAATAAAGATTTTCATCCAATGGAGATTTATACTATAAGGGCAAGCACGGTCAGTAACGTAGATTTAAACCTATGACCCACAAGTTGTGAGTCGAGCAATCTAACCACCATTATAATAAAAAGATAAATTTAAATAAAAAAAAAATAATATATCTTAGATATTCTTAGCATCAGTGTGTAGCCACACTGTGGTAAAAGTTTCACTTGTTTAGGCTAATGTTTTAGAGTCAGATTAAATCAATACAATGCTCTAAATGTAAAAACAATGCAAGCTTAAAGCAAGGCTCAGAAAGGTATTGTTCATTTAAAGCATTATGGGATATCTTCTGAAATGCAGTTTAAAATGTTTTGGCAGATTAGTATCCATTACATAGGGAAAACGTCAAATATTACATTGGTAAATATCAAATACTGAATAATGGAAGTCACTGAATAAATTTATAATTATTTAATCACTTTAAAAGGATTAAATCTCTGATTTTAACTATGGTCGATCATACTTAAACAAATCAGAACAGAATATATTTTAGATTACTTATACCAATACAATTTATTTACTGCAGGTTCTTTTATTCATAGCTAATTATGTAAATAATTTAACCACAGAAATGAATAATAAAGACACAATAGCATGGTTAATAAGAAAGATATTACTACCGCAGTAACGGTGCAGTGTGATACTACAACACTACCCCACACTGCAGTGTTCTGTCTTCTAAATCTCAATTAGCAGAATAACGAATATTCAGTTTTCGAAGTTCAAATTTCTTCTTGGAGAACAACAAGAAACTAATCATTGCTTTTGTTATATCAAGTTATAAATCTTTATAGTTTATTAACCAATCTTACTTGTCTAATGAGATGTTTATAATATCCCTGAACTTCTGTAGGGAGTTTTTTACATTGACGAAGTAAAAACCTATAAAGATAAACAGGTGATTTTAAACAACTGGGTGCTGCCATATTTGTAAACTTTTACAAGATCTTACCGGAAGAGGGCGTATTTTAAACACTGCTCGATATGTTTATGATATAGGTCTCTTAATAGTGAATAGAGTGGATAGTAATGTGTAAATAATACATTTACCGACTTTTAAAGCCTTGAATTCATTACTTAAAACGTTTCTGCAGAATTGTTGCGACATAATTTAATATAAATAATTAGGTTTAAGAAGACTACGAAATCAATATATAAAGACTTTCAAATTGCTCAGAAATTGTCAGTGATGTAAAGTATCTCATTAAATTATCAGGACACACGTCATGCACTACTGGTTTTTGTTCTACATTTAATTGAAATAGAAAATTAACTGCTGTAGAAAAGGCTTGCCAAAGAAACAACATAACGAAGATAAATAATAGTATATTTTAATTAACTGCAAGATTACAACAAAAAAATGATATCACTTAATAAGGATTTTTTTTTTACATTTTCTATAATCATTATGAATTACCGAATCTGTAGCTATATAATTTGTTATATATATATTTCTATGGTTAAATATGTTAAGAGTTTCTTGTGGAAAACGTTTGAGCGACACTGATAAAATGAAACAATTTTTGTAAAACATATCTTGACATTTTTTCCAAGGTTTCTCTAAATGCTTAAAATTATTTTTTCAATTTTTAATACAAATAACCAACAGAACCAAAACTTACTATTAACTGTGCTATTAAGAAACTTCGATTTTAATCACTATTTAAACGACACAAAAATAAATCATATACACGGTTTAAAACCAGTACTTTTCTTTCTTTCTGTGTTTTGGTAGAAATTAGGAAACGTTACTGACAAGATGGAACTTCATTCTGATAAATCCCCTTCCGAGTGATACTGAGCGAATTTTGATGTCGTTCCTATAATGTTTTTCTTCTGTATAATTACCTTCTTGTTATGTTCATTTGTTGTAAATAAATAGCTTACATTACAGAATACATAAACATGTAATATAAGATGTGTTTATAAATGTCCCCTGGTCACAATAATTAAACTACATTAATGTAGGTGTTTGATGACTAGGTATACATAACGCAGATATTCAACAGCATCTACCGCCAGCTCTTTTCTGACCTAATTGCAGGATTTGACCGTCACTAACACATTCACAGCCCAAAAATCCTAGGTGTGATTTTGCGACAACATGACGTAAACCCTCACATGTTCAGACCAAACTTTAACCACTAGGCAACGGACGTCACAATAGGTTAAGAAATAATTTGTATTATTAATGTTACAGAATAAATAATTAGAATTAATTATAAAATTAAAGTGGTCTCCTTTCAGTTTTTGTGTGTGTGTGTTTACCAATCGAAAGGTTAACAGCAAAAAAAAAACTTTAACCAATAATTCCACCAATGGATATTTCTAGCCAATAAGTTGAACCAATTAGTCCCTGCACAATTATTGACGACCTTTACATATGCAGCGTTTCAAAACATGCTTAAGACCACCACAAGTCTAGTGTGTGATGGTTACATGGTTAGTTTTTCCATAGATTCCAGCAAGCCTACTCAATGGCTAACTATACTAGCCGTCCCTAATTTGAACTAATAGAATACGAGGAAGGCGGTTAGACGAAAACACCCTAACCCAACTCTTGTGTGATTGAATAGGAGGATATGACCGTCTCCCTTATAACGCATGCACGGCCCTAAAGTGAGGAGTGCGATTTTTTTTTCGATAACGTAACGCAAACGATGGATAATTTCATGTGGAGACAAACTGTCTTTATTTTGTTCTTCTTGTTCCAAACACTTTTCAATTAACCACCATTGTTCATTTCTCGGCGGACTGATTAGAAACGTAGTAGGGTTATTTACCTTGGTCCAATACGCCCAGACACCTTTTTTTGCATTTTATTTGGCCTTTTTTTTACAGGATTTTATGGGGTCAAAGGTCTAATA